TCTTATCCCAGCTTTATAAATGGGGAGACTGAAGTTAAATATGGCTTTGAGGACATAGGACAGAAGTTAAATATGGCTTTGAGGACATAGGACTAGAAGTTGTGGGGACTTGGGAGTCATACCCAGGAAACAGGGCTCCAGGGCTGTGTGCCTGAAGGCAGGATAAGTGTGGCCAGGACCCACGGCTACTCCTCTGGGGTGGGCACCTCTCCTGGACTCCTCCCCAGAAAACTCTCCTGGGTCAGCTTCTCAGCTATCCAGCCCCTTCCTGATGCCTGCACCTCATGGTGCAGTACGTTCCTCATTCATGATTAAGCCTCTCCACCCAAGACCACGTCTAAAGCTCAGATGAGAGGGGAGTTTCTCCTGACAGGTGATAGGAGATCATGTGGTGAACCTGGCACAGGTAAATGAATGTCAAAGTCATGTTCCTCCTGGGAAAGATGTTCTCACATCATAGTGGTCTTCTCTAAGCAAAGCAAGGATTTTCAGGTAGGTAGAGTTGTTGACAAAGTGGATATTTAGAGAAATCTCAGATCGCTCCGAAAGAGAAATTGGCAACCTCATTTACAGAAGACTGGCCTGTGGATCTGAAAACTCTGGAATTCCCTGTTTTTATGTCTGAGATCCCCAAATGTGCCAGATCCTCCTACTGTGGCAGCTTCCTCCCACGTTTGTGTATTCTCAAAAAAGATGTTGTGCTAATCAAGAAATTTTCAAGAGAAACAGTCATCAGCTGTGTCTTATTTGAAATAACAACACCTAGATACAGCCAAATCTATCCATTCATAGTTGTGCGTATGCATAGTTTGCTTTATCCTTGCCCCGGCTCTTTACATACTGAAGGAGTGAAATTGTTGGCACCACAAAGGTTGTGATGGTTTGATTTATTTATTTTTCTATAGGAAAAATCAAAACTTCAAAGCAGAAAGCAAAGGCAGGTGTTTAGGTTTGCCTGGTGTGGACTGAAACCCTCTCCTCATTATTTATTAAAGGTCTTCCGTGTTAGGTTACTGACTGCATAAAGGAAATTTCCAGGGAATGGGTATTTCCTGTTAATTTTTCATGCTGGGTCCTGGGAAAAGAATCAGAGACCCTTAGACAGAATTGCACAGTGGGGCCTTCAGAGGAAGGTGTATATATGCACATTACAGTCAGAGCTTATGCAACTTCTGGCAAATCAGCTGAAACAGGCCATCTGAAGTTCACGAAGATGAATAATGATGGATTATTTGTATTAGTAGTCATTGGTTTCGAACCTGTAACTACAGGCTGTCACATTGATAAATAACTAGGACATTTCATTGAAAAGAGAAATGTACCTCTTGTCATCACAACCTTAGATTGATTTCAAAGTAAGAGCAATGTATTAATTAGGAGTATATATATTGTCAAAGCATTTTTTCTTTTTCCTTTTGATTACACAAAATATTGTGGACCTCTTCTTATTTGTTTTTCTACCATTTTGGTACAGAACGAATCAGCCAAATGTTGGAGAAGGAACTGAGCAGAAGAGATTAAAATATTGCCAAGAAAAATATTCTAACAAACTCTCAATCCAATGTCTTTTTGTAATATTCTTTTTGGACACTGAAATTGGTGCCTACTCCCTTATTTCATTTCCCTCTGAACTCTATCCACGTTGTAGAATTGAGTGAATTGATTCAGTGGTATTAGACCCTTTTTGCTTACTCTTAGACTAGCACATGCCTAGATGTTTTATAAAAGGACAATATATTTGATTTTAAAGGTCGGGGTTTTTAATCTTTTTAAATAACTTTTTAAATTTTTTTGGCCACACCAAATGGCTTGCAGGATCTTAGTTTCCCAACCAGGGATTGAACCTGGGCCTTCGAGAGTGAAAGCATGGAGTCCTAACCACTGGACCTCCAGGGAATTCCCTTAAATTACTTTTTCACATTAGTTTGGATATTCTTTTTTTTTTATTGAAGTATACTTGATATACAATGTTGTATTAGTTTCAGGTATACAGCAAAGTGATTTATATATATATATATATATTTATACATATATATTCTTTTTCAGAATTTTCTATTATAGGTTATTAAAAGATAATTGTATATAGTTCTCTGTGCTGTACAGTAGGTTCCTTATTGTTTATCTATTTTATATATAGTAGTGTGTAGTTGAATACTCTTTATTATCACTATTTGATCCCCAGAAAGGGGGCATGCATCTTTAGACTCTAGATCTCGAGGAATTTGAGGCAGTTAGAGAAAAGTAACCCTTAACCCTAAAGCAGGAAGAAACATGTCATGGAAATAGGACTGGAAAAAGACTCATTCATCTGCTTTACCCTCAAATCTAGCTCTGCCCCTGGGTAGCTGATTTACATTGGGCAAGTCATTTAACGTTGCCCAGTTGCCTCATCTACAAAACAAAGATGCTGGGCTAAAAGACCTTTTTCTTCTACCTCTCAAGTTCTACACTAACATTTTCCCCCAGTGGTCACTGATCCTCTGAGGAGTATGAGGAATCACCCTAGAGATACATTTTTTAAGGTAGAACTACTTATATATACAAACATGACAGTATCTCCAGACATTCATGAATTAAAAAAGCAGTTGTCAAATAGTACAGAGAGCATGAGTCCATTTGTGTGAACCAAAATGAATAGTGTGGACAAAGTCTGAAGGATGATTTCCACCCTGATAACAGTGCTTAGCTCTGGGGAGAGCTCTAGAATTGGGGATGATGGTCAAAGGAGAGTTTGTTCTTATCCGTATGGTTTGTATTTTTTTAAATTGAAGTATAGTCGATTTACAACGTTGTGTTTGTTTCAGGTGTAGAGCAAAGTGATTCAGTTATACATACACACACACATATATATTCTTTTTCAGATTGTTTTCCATGATAGGTTATTACAAGATTTTTTTTGTATAAATTTATTTATTTTATTTTTGGCTACGTTGGGTCTTTGTTGCTGCATGCGGGCTTTCTCTAGTTGCGGCGAGTGGGGGCTACTCTTTGTTGTGGTGCGCGGGCTTCTCATTGCGGTGGCTTCTCTTGTTGAGGAACACGGGCTTTAGGCATGCGGGCTTCACTAGTTGTGGTGCACGGGCTCAGTAGTTGTGGCTCGCAGGCTCTAGAGCACAGGCTCAGTAGTTGTGGTGCGCGGGCTTAGTTGCTCCACGGCATGTGGGATCTTCCTGGACCAGGGCTCGAGCCCACATCCCCTGCATTGGCAGGCGGAGTCTTAACCACTGTCCCATCAGGGAAGCCCCATTACAAGATATTGAATATAATTCCCTGTGCTATACAGTAGGTCCTTGTTGTTTTTCTATTTTATATATAGTAGTGTGTGTCTGTTAATCCCAAACTCCTAATTTATCCCTCCCTTTCCCCTTTAGTTATCATAAGTTTCTTTTCTATGTCTGTCAGACTTATTTTTTATTTTTTTTTATTTTTTTATTTTTTTTTGCTGTACGCGGGTCTCTCACTGTTGTGGCCCCTCCTGTTGCGGAGCACAGGCTCCGGACGCACAGGCTCAGAGGCCATGGCTCACGGGCCCAGCCGCTCCGTGGCACGTGCGATCTTCCCGGACCGGGGCACGAACCCGCGTCCCCTGCATCGGCAGGCGGACTCTCAACCACTGTTCCACCAGGGAAGCCCCCTGTCAGTCTAGTTAAAGGTGCATTTTAAAAAATAATTTAATTTAGTGATTAGAAATAGGAAATGAATATAAAACTGTAAATATAGATGCCTCTCTATAAATAGTCAATAAGTAAAATCATTTAGCTTTTGATAGTAGTTGACTGAGGTGAAGAAATTCGAAGGGGAGAGAGAACAGGGAAGAAAAATTAGGTATGTATACATTGAATCAAAAATCACTGTTCTGGGGGCTTCCCTGGTGGCGCAGTGGTTGAGAGTCCGCCTGCCGATGCAGGGGACACGGGTTCGTGCCCCGGTCTGGGAGGATCCCACATGCCGCGGAGCGGCTGGGCCCGTGAGCCATGGCCGCTGAGCCTGCGCGTCCGGAGCCTGTGCTCCTCAATGGGAGAGGCCACAACAGTGAGAGGCCCGCACACTGCAAAAAAAGAAAAAATAAATAAAAAAAATAAAAAAATTAAAAAAAAAAAAAAATCACTGTTCTGGGGCTTCCCTGGTAGCGCGGTGGTTGGGAGTCTGCCTGCCCATGCGGGGGACGCGGGTTCGTGCCACGGTCCAGGAGGATCCCACGTGCCGTGGAGCGGCTGGGCCCGTGGGCCAGGGCCGCTGGGCCTGCGTGTCCGGAGCCTGTGCTCCACGGCGGGAGAGGCCACAGCAGTGACAGGCCTGCGCACCACCAAAAAAAAAAAAAAAAAAATCACTGTTCTGTAGGTCACAAATGGCCCATTATTGGCAATTTATATGGTTCAACATAATGCTAGCCATAATCTTTGAATATCACAGTTAAACAAATTACAGGACCACCTGGGCCACAGCAACTTTGGCGAATACCGCTGTGAGAGCAGAAATATTAGAGGATCCTGGAAAATCCATCACGTTGGAATCTGTAGCCCAGCTTGGTAGGAGCAGGTATTTCATTATCGTAGTCTCTGAAGCAAAACCAAAGTTTGTCCTCTTAACAATTAAAGTCGTTAAGATCCTACCGTAACATTGGAACTGCTTAAAACAGCTGCAAACATAGTTCTTCCTAAAATATCAAATGGTTAACCCTCATATGTGTTGATTCTGGTTTTTTTGTTTGTTTGTTTGTTTTTCTGTGGTACGCGGGCCTCTCACTGTTGTGGCCTCTCCCGTTGCGGAGCAACAGGCTCTGGACGCGCAGGCTCAGCGGCCATGGCTCACTTCCGCGGCATGAACCCGCGTCCCCTGCATCGGCAGGCGGACTCTCAACCACTGTGCCATCAAGGAAGCCCTGTGTTGATTCTGGAAGCATTCATGTACTGCACTTTGACGCTTTTTAAATGCTCCATTTTTCGTGAGAGATCTAATTACTGGCCAATGTGGAACTTCTCTTTTACTGTTGGTTTTAGTTATCCCTGAAAATTCTGTGAAGGAATTCCTCAGAGCACCTGGTACCATCAAAGACAGAATCAAGAAGTTGCTTGCTCACAAAAATAACATGAAAAAGAAGGTAAAGATGAAAGACATCGCAGAACCTGGGGGGACTCCTGCCCCTAAGGTTGACTCGCAGCCCTTCAACTCTGAAGAGAGCATTTCCAGAGATGGGAACCCTCATGGAACAAAAAAGAGAAATGAAGAGAGAAAGAAAGCCAGGAGGCTTTCTGGAGGAAGAGAAAAGAGATGAGAAAGCGCTGGCAAGCCATGTGCAGGAGGAGCAAAGCCTTCTGGGAGATGTGTTTTGTAAGTATCACTTCTGTGAATTTATACATCTTATGAAAAGTGCATTGTAGTTTCTCCTGGCAAATGAAAGAAAAAGGGAAGACAGTTTCACGCCTTAAGTAAGATGGGGTCAGCTTTAAGTCCTAAGAAGCAGGGTTCTCTATAAGGTCTGGAAACTTAGTCTTCCACAGATACGAAATCCAATTTGCTGCTGTGGGACGCGCGGAGTGTCAGGCCTCTCCCCTTGCCTGGGGGGTTCCCTATTTGATGCAGACCCTCTTTCTGCTCCCGGCCAAGGAAGCCCAGTTGTCCTGCCAGCACGGTTGTCTGAACGCCCAGCTTCGCATGCAGCACACCCCCATACCCCAGAGAGTGCCCCCTGGTGGATCTGCCTAGCTCTACCTTTTTCCTTCGTGGAGGCACTTTTTACAGGCACACTCATGAAAGGAGATTTTCAGAGTTGTGTGGTTATGATCTAAAAAGGCAAAATAGACAGTTGAAGGAAAGTTCTGTAGAGAGGTTAAGCTTAAGTTTTCTGCATGAGCTGGAGAAACTGCCCTTGTCCCTGGTGGCCGAGCAGAGCCCGTCACCAGCCTCAGCCCCTCCAGGGTGGTTTCCATGTTAACCCACCCTGGATCCCTCACACTGAGACTTTCCATTTCATTCTCACCAGGAGTCTGTCGCTCCCTCTATATTTTGTCTTAATTGTTCCTGCTCCATGGCTGTTGGATTTAACCAAATGAAAAGTAGCTCCAGCCCCACCTGTCCAAGAACTAGCATACCAATGACATTATCTCCATTAATAGAGTCAAAATCTCAAGAGAGTATGTTTCCAAAACCTGGTGGGAAGGGATGTGTTATTTAGGTTACTTGGGTGATGCTTAGGTCAACTGGAGCCACCTGTGGAAAAAGACGTTCTACATGAGGAAACTGGAACCAATATGAATGCTTTGGAAATGTTAGGGAAACACAGTTGTAACATATTCTGTCTGTAGAACACAGTTGTCCCTTGGTATCCATGGGGGATTGGTTCCAGGAACCCTCACAGATACCAAAATCCATGGATGCTCAAGTCCCTTATATAAAATAGTGCAGCATTCACATATAACTTACACACATCCTCCCATATACTTTAAGTAATCGCTAGATAACTTAAAATATGTAATACAATGTAAATGCTGTGTAAATAGTTGCCTGGCGCGCAAGGCAAATTCAAGTTTTGCTCTTTGGAACTTTCTGGATTTTTAAAAAAATATTTTTGACCTGTGGTTGGTTGAATCTGTGGATGTAGAGCCCATGGATATGGAGGGCCAGCTGTATATGATAAAACCCTCTTTGTTCATTCATTCATACCTTCTTAGCACGTGAGGCTTTAGGGTTTTTTTTTTTTAACTGATCAAGTGTTCATTGTTAGCCCCTAAGGTGAAGGAAGCAGGTGAAGTTGATCTGGTTCTGGTCCAAAGAAAAGCTACAACATCCCGACTGGAACACAGAAGTAATGCCTTCTTCTGAGTATACACTGTCTCACGGTGTCCCATGGTCCTTTCATCTCTTCATAGGATGAGGTGGTTGTGTATGGATCACTGCTTCATTCCTAAATACCCAAGGGAAAAATCGTTACATCATGATACCCAGCGCCAGTGTGAAAATAGGAGGTCCTTTTGTGATTAATACCAATGATTATGATACTGTAATGCTGTCTTCTCTCCACCTCTCCACCTGACACCTAGAGTAAAGAAGTGAGGCAGATCATTATATATGGAGATGGCAGAAAATGACTCATTTGCTTCAACTCCAACCCATGGGGGCCCACCACCTGAAAATCATCGTGTACTAAAATCTGGCCCTAAGTGCCTGTGTCAGTTACCTATTGCCACAGTAGCACTTTGTAACAGACAACCACAAACCCTCAGTGCCTATATCAATAAATATTTAGCTTTGTATGTGAGTCTGTGGGTTGGCTGGACAGTTCTGCTGATCTGAGCTGGTCTGGGTGGGGTTCGCCCATGTGTCTGCATCAGCTGTGGGCCTGCTCGGTGACTTCGCTCATCTTAGCTGTGCTCTCTCACAGGCCTGGGGCCTCAGGTGGGACACTTGGGCTGACTCTGCTCTGCTCCATGGGGTTTCTCATCCTCCCGGAGGCTAGTCAAGCTTGTTCTTGTGAGGCAGTGGCAGGGTTCCCAGAAAGAGAGCAGAGGCACACAGGCCTGGTCTAGGCCAGAACTGGCATAGCATTGGCTTCTGTCATACTCTATTGGCCAAGGCAAGTCATAAGGCCAGCCCAGTCTTAAGAGTTGGGGAAGTTACAACAGAGTTGTATTGCAGAGAGCGTGGACCCAGGGAGGGGTAAAAATTGGGACCATTTTTGTGATCATTCTAGCAAAGCCTCATAATCTGGAATTTCTTAGGCGTGATCCCTAATTTCCTCTGAGTTTATTTAGCACTTTCACTACCCTCGACAAATTACATGCGCATCTCTACACAGACATCAGGGAAAAGCCTACCTATATATGTATCCTTTTTACTTGGTGTAAATATGAATGCCTTGATCTCTTTCCTTTTCAAACTTTCACTTACCACTATACATGTCCTAAGCTTGCAGTAATTGGATTTCCTTCTGTGTTTACCCCGTGATTACATTCTCCAATTCTGTCCTTTTGGTTTATAGGACAAGCTCCACCATGAAGAAAGTACACTCCTCCAAATTTAATCTGAGAAGCTTCTACGAAAAACTTTCCAAAGGGTAGTGACGCATGACCCAACTCCTGTAGGCATCTTGTTTTCTTCCATATTTCTCCTAAGTGTCCCACGTTTTTGTTTGTTTGTTTGTTTGTTTGTTTGTTTTGCAGCCTGTGGGATCTTAGTTCCCTGACCAGGGATCAAACCTGCTCCCCTGCAGTGCAAGTGCGGAGTCTTAGCCACTGGACCGCCAGAGACATCCCAGTGTTCCGCTTTTTTCATTTCTCTGCATCAAACATCTTATTGCCCATTTTCCTGGTTAGAAAGAAAATGTTTTATAGCTCAGGGGTTAAGCTACCTTCTCTAGGTGCTTGGAACTTCTGCCCCAGCTCTGCTTTACACTTCTAAGTGACATTAATAAATTATTTGAGTCCTCTTTGGATCCCCAAATCAACCAGGTTTCTTACTTGAATTTTTCTTCCATAATCCTCAAAGAAACACAGAAAGTTTACAATTTTGCTTATTAGCTTATGCCTCTGATTTTAAAGGTCTTTGAATAAGGTGTCCGGAGTGCTCAGTCTTAATTAGTAGACTCAGGTGTGCCCCCCAACTCTCCACTTGCTGTTTGCCTTGGGCAGGTCACTTAGGCTTGTGATGTCTCATGGTTTTCATGTGTAAAGTCAGAATAAGAGCAACACTCCTCTCTAAGGTGCTGTCTTAGGCTGAGTTCCTCAAAAACAGGCCTTGAGACAAGAATTTGTGTGCAAGTGGTTTATGTGGGCGGTGATTCCAGGAAACAGTGGTTGGAGACCAGGGAAGAGAAGGAGGCAATAAAGGGCATGTCATTGAGCAAGTTTCCACTGTAGGTGCCTGGAGCTGTATCCAACTGGGGAATCTGGGAGCCACTGTATAGAACACATGGCTCAGAATTATCCTACTGGAGGGGCAAGGGAGCTGGGGTATTTATACACCAACTCCCATCTTACATTGATTGAAGGCCACTCCCAGGAGGGTGTTAATTCCCTGGTGCTCCTGGCCTGCCATAAAATCAGGGAAGGGCACCACTGTGGCAACTGGATCTCCATCCCAGTTGGACCCTCTACAAGACTGGAGAGAACCTGGATTCCAATCTGACTTCAGGTCCAGGTCCAATTCCAGCACTTAGTGGTCCCACCCAAAGGCAGGGAAGCAGAGGTAGCTAACCACCAAGTCCTGTCCATCACTGGTTGAGGACTCTCCCAGGGAAAGAGATCCCTGGGATTCTGGGCTGCCTGGCT